GAAGTTAAATCAGTGCAAACATAACATAAATAACTTGCTTGTACTTACACTAAGATTCCAATCAAAAGAGTTGACTTGAGTAATCTGGGGAGATCAAATACCTGGTCATCTCGTTTGACGCAGCAAGGCATTACTGAATTTGATTGGATTTGACAAGACAGTTGTTGTTTTAAACAATACAGAATTACGGGTGATATGTTGTTACATGCCATCTTACATCGGGCAGTATAGCGCAGTTAAAGGAACTGTATCATTGTGAATCGGCAATGGTCGGACCGTGTGTTCATAGAAGAGACTAGGTAATTATTGATCATCACTATTTGATACACGCGTTTGTTGTTTAACGCTTGTAAAACGGCTACCGTCTGCCAGTGTGCACATGGAAGAGATGAAGGAGTAAGAATATACTCCGAAACGTCGTGTCCATCCCAGTACAGAAGCTGACCTCCATAACATTCTTGACTTTATGAGTAGGTCTTTATTGATCATCACTATTCGATAGATGTATTTGTTGTTTAATGCCACACTCAGGAACATTCCAACAATATTGACGGCAGTCAATACGATCGCGAGTGTGGACAAGACAACCGATAGATTGACATCATGAGGAATTGGTTACGACCAGCATCAAACATGTCAGTGAGCCTGACCACCCGATCCTGTTAGTCGCCTCTTACGATAAGTATGAGTTTGCTCAAGATCAATTCTAACCCGGATTCTTTTGAGATCCTTGTGTTACGGTTTAGAAATTACTGTGATAAAAGGCGTGTGAGTCCCTTTTAAACCTGCAAAATAAAACACAATCAAGTCTATATATTCAATTATATATTGAATTCGTCGGTTTGAAAAGACCGAGGGCTTCTGCAAATGAAAATGCCCTGACAAATAGCGTTACTCCTTATAATATTCACCCAAGTCTTAAATTTTATTGTTGACATTTGTTCAGCTGTTGAAAGTTGAGTGTAGACGGGCCTCTTTGTGCGGTCGATCTTGAAAAGTTGATCTTAGCAGACAGATGAGCGTAAATCCAAAGTAGTCTCTCCATACATCTCAACAACCATCCCTCATATACGTATTATACAGTTCTGGATTTTTCTAGCAAAAACCATGCCACACCAGAATTCTCTCATAACTTACTGCATCCTCCGAACAAAGGGGAGGTAAGTCCTCAGCTTACTCTTAACAGGTGAAAATACAAAGCCTAAGTTCAAGGTGTGAGTTCAATTCACACTCAGCGCTTTAAACTTTAACGACTAAAACTTAATTAATGTGACATCATAGTTACCAAATCACACCCTCATTACACGTTTACCCAAGCGTACAATGGACCATGATTTTAGTTGAGTTTCCTTTTCATCTAGTATTCCACCACTCAGTTGATTTTCACTTAGTTTTCATTTCACGCTGTTATTTGTTTCTGTTATCTGACGTTTGATGATCATGGTGATTATCTTTCTTGATACTAAATACGGACGACAGATCATGCTGTTGGTGACTGCTTGGTATCATGCCCTGTGGGTGGCTGTCATATACATGATCCTGTTATTTTCTGACTACTTATTTACCGGATACTTTGATGCAACTTGAACATTGCTGACTTCAACAAAGCAAAGCAGTAAAATGTGGACAGAGACATGAGCAATAATAATCAAAATAGCATCGAACAAACAACATGCAATAAATCATTCAACATTCATATCACATTAAATGGCAAAATGACAAGAAGTCGATAAATCTGTTCAAATACGCTTTTCAGAACACGAAAGAAACATCTATGGAAGACACAATTGGGGTCTCCGAAAGTGTGGTCTTAGTAACAGCATGCGTCTTTGTCATGTGTAATTGGCTGTCGCGTTAAGGCAGAGCACGTTGGGTAAAGCATGACAAAAGGCGTAAGGAATGACTCTTTTCAGAGCCAATGACAGCATTTAAAACAAAATAACTTTCTCTAATTGCCAACTTTAGGAAAGAACAACAAGGGGAACAAAGATCTTGTCATTTCGCCCAGAGATTGTTAGGTAACATCAAATGCCATAAAACACAAGTACAAAACTCTCACATGATGCTGTATATGACACAATATACAGTAAAACCATATCCATGCATGGTACATATTTGCGTTTATAGGAAATAAGAACAATGATCATATTATGCTTTGCAAACGCGTTTAATGTTGTATAAGGCCTTTTAAATAGCGCCGCGGAGAAGAAATGGTTAACTGCACTGTGCACGCAATATATTCATAACTCAGGAATTTCGTAGGAACAAGCTGTTACAGTGATATACAATAACGTTTATGCCATAAATTCATCAGTATTTAGGGTTAAACCCTTTAAGTGACATATATAGTATGACCAGAAATTATTGAGAATTTTAGGAATATGTTTAATTGGATTTCTAGTATAAACAACCTTGACCAGCTATCAAGTGCTTGGTTTCATTCAAGAGAGACAACTCCGTTAATCCTTTTTCATTAGTTTGTGAAGAGTTATCCCCCTTTGTTTACTTGCTAGCAGACGACATTTTCTTTGATCCTCAGTATGGATGATTTAGAGAAGAGGAAGTTGATTTTAGAGTATTATAACAAGGACATCAGATCAGCTAAAGTGATTTCAAGTAGAACGGGCATCCCTTTGTCAACTGTTATAGTGTTTTGAAAAATATTGCAAATGGATATGGCATTGAGCACCAGGGAGGCGCAGGTAGGCCCAGAAAATTGACTGTCGGTGACAGGAGGCAGCTTGGTATTCTTGTTTCTAAAAACAAACAAAGGAGTTTAGAAAACTTAAGGCGGGATATGATTGATAGAGGAAGTGTGGCTGTCTATAAAGAGACAGTTAGAACTGAGCTGCATGCAGTGGGTTGGCAGAAAAGTCGAGGAATTCCATCACCGATCATGAAACCTGAACAAAAGGAGCGAAGGTTGAACTGGTGCATACAGCATAGAAATTTTAACTGGGACAATGGGATTTTCTGAGATGAAAGTTCTGTGTGGCTGTTTCCTAATACACTGAAATTCTGGACAAACAAACTGAAAAACCTTTGTATCAGCGCCCAAAGTACAGTCCGAAATTTAACGTGTGGGGTGGTATATCTGTGTTAGGGGCAACGCCCCTCTGTGTATTTGAAGGGAATATGAACAGTGAGCGGTACACAGATATTCTCGAGGGACATTTACTTCCATCTGCTCACGTGTTCTATGGAAATTTTTGGATTTTCCAGCAGGACAACGACCCAAAACATCATTCAAAGCATTCACAGGCCTGGTTTCGGACCCAAAATATGACATTATTAGATTGGCCAAGCTATAGCCCTGACCTAAATCCAACAGAAAATGTTTGGGGACTTATGAAGGAAAGTGTCAATAAGAAAAATCTGACAAATATTGCTGAAATAAAAGAAGAGGTGGTCCGATATTGGGACAGAATGGACCACGACCTTCTAACTTCTTTGATCAGTAGCCCTGCCACATTGACGCCTGCATTGCTGCCCAAGGTAAGTTGACAAAATACTAACTGTTCACGTCTTTGAATATGGAGTTATGTTCTGCTAATATTCACATTTAATACGTCAGTAATGAGTGAAAAAAAAATTTACCATCTTAAATTTCAATAATTTCTGGATGTACTGTATTTTCTATATCGAAAATACCCACGTTATACCCACTAATAATCTGTAATTATACCTGCAGGGAATTTTACCAATCATATCTATTGTTAAAATGTTTTAATACAATGTAGAATATCTGCAAAAGATACAAAATCAATGTCATTTTCAAATCTTACATAAAAGTATATACACAGACCAGGAATTGTTCAGGAAGAACACATTTGCCAAACGCATGTGATAAGTTGCAGGTTTTACAATATAATTACTGCTTACGTATATTCTGAATGTGCAAATGTTAAAGAATGTAATACTTCTAAAATGCATAATATTAAATACAATATTTCAAAACAAGGCATCAGTTTTGGAGATAACAATATTGTCTTCTGCAATCACGTATTAATATTAAAACAACCACACACACCATTTTTGAAAGGGAATAAATGTGTGTGTTTTTCAATCACACAGACGTATACTTAACGACACTTGCAATGTTCTTACAAGAAGAAACAATAATAGGGTCAAAGTGCCTCAGGTGACTGTTGTACACAAGCTGTTTGACCAAGGTTTAAACTTTCCAAGCCTTTAAACCTTACAGAAGGTTTAATGGAAGACGTGAAGAGTACATTTGAATGACCAAAGAATGTTAATTTATTTACACAGCGCCTGACGTCCAACTTAGTTGCTAAGAGGTACTGAGAGGAATCTGTTGAGGAAATAGGCTTTTCCGGAAAGGGAAGTCTTCAAAGGAGATTGATCTGTGATAGTCTAGTTATTTTACTGTCCATCGATGATACATCGATGGCTGAAATGATTGCCCTTTTGACGCAAAAATTTAAGCTCACTCACTCACTCACTCAAAGACGACTCTCGACCAAGAAGATCTGCGATACAATTTCCTATTTTGACTTTATGTTCCATGCCCTCTGTAGAATTTCCAGGTGAACAATCGCCCTGCCTTTGGTTCTGTTTCTGATAAATCCAGTCAGGCTCACTTTTCGCGAACACCTGGTGACCTATTAGTAATTTATACGGATATTAATAGTGACCGCTGCATTTCATGTGACTTCTGCTGATTATGGAAATGTGGTTTGGGCTTCTATTTGCATAAGGTATTAGGATTTATTACCCACGTGGTCAACGTATGGGTAGTTGCATACTAATCTCGTACGTCACACGAGTGTCGTAACGCGTTGAGCTGTGTCGTAACGACTTGACCTGAGATTCTAACGATTTGATTGGATAACGGATGACCTCTCAATTAAGTCACATTCTGACGTAACTATTTTTTCATTCATAACGAACACTTGAATTCATTCATTCTATAACTTAAATGCATTGTGGAATAAACATCGCGAACGTTGCCGTGTCGCTGTTTAATTGTGAACCGAACTGAGACATGATATCCGTCGAAAAACATAAACGCAATGTTTCCACCAGTGATGTTAGCCGAATGAAGCAACTGCAAACCAAGAAACGGGGTGCTACGGAGTAGTTTACTGTAGGCGGCTGTACGAGGCAATGACAACAGACATGCATTCTGACGTCTGTTACCAAGGCAGTGACGTCATGCAAATATTGTACTACAGTACAAAACTCTTCCGCAACCTCTTTATGAAACCGGTTTCGGTTTGAAACCAAAAAATAACAAAAATACGCTATTTTGTCAATTTAATGCATGTAAGACGTGGGTAATAAATAAAATACAACACTCGGTCTCATTACATACGAATTATACGAAACTCGTGACCTTCCTATGTTTTCTAACCTCGCTTTCGCTTGGTCAGATACCATAGGAAGGACACTCGTTTCGTATAATTCGTATGTAATGAGACCTCGTGTAGTATTCTCTATTTACCAAACATACTGGGTTGCTTCACAAAAAACGATTATCTCTGGTATTTATATTCAATTTCTCGCTACGTTATGGCTGAAATATTGCTCTTGTCACGTAAGCTCACTCACTCACTCACTCACTCAAAAGTGATTGGACGACTACCGACGATGCCATTACCTATATTGATCTTTTGTTCCACACCTTCTCTCGAATTTCCAGGTGACGAATGCACTCGGTGGGTCACAATTGGTTCACATTTTCGCGAACACGTGGTGTCCTATTATTGATTTATATGGATAGGAATTCATACACACATACCGATGATGTAATTGGAATGCAACGCTGCTATCCTTTTGATTGTGGAAATGTGGTTTGGGCTTCTATTTGCATCAGGTATTAGGATTCAGCAAACATACTGGGTCGCTGCACAAGAACGACACATATGTTTCAGGACCAGTAATGTTAAATCGGATAGGCCTACTTGAGGGTGGAAAGTTATGCTTGGACATTTTACGTATAGATATTACATATTGAGCACAGTGGTGTAGTGGTTAGCATGCTGGCCTCTCACGCCAAAGGCCCGGGTTCGAATGCCGTGGAGACACCAAAATGTGTGACCTGGGTCTCATACTGTGTTGTGTCCCTGGGCAAGGCACTTAGTCCACATTGCACTCAGTCCACCCAGCTGTTCAAAATGGGTACGTGGGAAGCGGATGTACGGACCTATACGGTCGCGCTAAGCGCTTAGTAGCGGCTTTGAAAGTACAATTCTGTCAGGGTAATAATGTAATGCCAGAGAACAGCGTCGTGTTGGATTCTAGGTGCAAAAAATAACATTACTATTATTATTACTATTATATTTACAGTGAAATATAAAAATAGCAAAAACATATATCCGATACGTGTAGATGCAAGAAAGATATATGTGGATCTACACTAAACGCCAAAAGAAACGTTACCCTCCTTCCTTAATGATGGAGGTACCTATCTTCAGCTGGCGTTGTGATGCGTGGACGTCCATTTCTGTCTACGGTCTGTCTACGGTGACCCCAGTCTGTCTGAAGCCGTGAATAAGTCCGAGGACGTTGGCAACAGCAATCTATGTCGACCCCATCTGCACCATCCCAATGGCTCTTTCTGTCTCTTCAACTGTTAATCGTGGCATATTTCTCGTACTTGTGTATCATATCATGTATTCTAGGCCCTCTTCATACCGTATGGAATCATTCTACATGTGAAAGGGATGCAAATGCTGCTTGAATATTGCTGCGTTTTGGCGATTGATATTGCCATGTGTAAACAGAAAATGGAAAAATATTTACTTTGCAAGCAAAAATGTTAACAACGATAATTTTAGATGTTGCTAAACATTTTTTCACAATATCAAAGACACGTTTTACTTGTTTTCACTAATGCAAATCAGCAGAAAATGTTTTAAAAGACTGAAATCATAGGAATGGTTATTTTACAATTTTACACACTCTACAACAGTTGTTTCTTGTTTTAATAGTTGAAAAATGATGACTTTGAATGGTTTATCATTGTTCCAAAGTTGAATTTTATTTCAACCTTTCTTTTGGACATCGAAATCACTGTTATTGGTTTATTTCGGCATGGACGAATATAGGACAATTTAACTCTTCTGAAAAATATGTATTTCACCTAAATATGAATGCATTTGAGAATTTGTTCGTGATTTGCATAAAGCTGTGTTGTTAAGCTTTCTTGTAAAATAATACTTCCCAACATATCTTTGATAGTTTTTCAGTAATTCGTAAAGGTAGGAGGGTAACGTTTCTTTTGGCGTTTAGTGTATATGTTTAACTGTACGTCCAATTTCTCTACCATATCACGTTAAACCATTTTTGATACAATTCCTTACTTTGACTTGTACCATACGTATACGCACTCGCATTTTTGTTTTCTAGGGAACAATTGACTAGCCTCTGTATGTGTTTATGACGGGTGCAACCAGTTTGACAGGATGCGCTTACCTTTTCCTGAATGCCCACTGTCATTTAAGGATTAACTCTGAACCAACAGAAAATTCTTCCAATCAGAATAGACAATGAACAAATATTGTATCTACAATAGTTTGATAAAAAGCAATAGTATACATTAAAGCAGACAGAAATTACGAGATCGATAACATTCCAGTAAGGATTACTTTCTGTGGCGTGCGTGTATTAGGTGATTGTATAATTTTAAGCACATTACGTGACATGCTCAACTTACTGATAAGGTAATCGGTTGTTTGATTCAACTGATGAAAATGATTCATTCCTGTATTGATTTTGCATGGACCACAGATATTTCTATGGCTACACTTGCAACGCCAAATACGTTTTAAATAAAAGTATATATCCTATGACATAATATGTAACACCTGAAAAAAAATGTTGACCCGTGAAGGTCCGGGTTAGAATATTGATCTTCAGTAACCCATGCTTGTCGTAAGAGGCGACTAACGGGATCGGATGGTCAGGCTCGCTGACTTGGTTGACACATGTTATCGGTTCCCAGTTGCTCCGATTGATGGTCATGCTGTTGATCGCTGCATTGTCTGTTCCAGACTCGATTATTTACAGACCGCCGCCATATAGCTGGAATATTGCTGAGTGCGGCGTAAAACTAAACTAAACTCACTCACTCACTGACAAATGTTATTGTTGTGAATCAGTCTTTCTTTCCAAAGTAGTTCGGACAATTTCTATTTCGACAAAGTCACTCACCAAAAGCATGTCTTTGGCATGCAATACTCATACTAATAGTTAGCTTTAAACACCTTTTCAGTATTTTCAACCAACCTTATTTACATTTATGTCGTTCCTGTTACTTTTTGTCATCAGAATTTCCAAGATATACCCCGTATATATTAGGGCTGCGCAATATAAACGGTTTACCGGTATCTACCTGTTCAGACATGAAAACGATACGTATTGAGATACGCTGATCGAAAACCGGTATTTTGACATACACTCGGAAATCTTCGGATATTTCCGATTTTTTAAAATTGTTCCTTTCCTTATTTCATTTATGCCAAATATTATTTACATTTTTCATATTTTGTCATGATTAAAAGTTTTAAATTAAAGCTTAATCAAGCATAGTGAATTTGTTGTGTTTTTGCTTTATAGATCAAACATTAACTTATATTTGTTTTTTGTTTTAAAAAGACAACTTCTTGCAATATATTGCAATACATATGGCAATATATATGCTTTTGCATCGCAATATATCGCAACATGAAAATTCTCTGCAATACCCACCCCTAGTATATATGGAATACATGTATATATATATAGATACGCGCAAGAAACTATGCATCTTTTAAACTATGGACATATAAATTGATTACGTCAGCATCGATTAAAGCCCAAATAGCTTACTTGTAGGGAACCTTCAAGAATAACTTTCTACTTACATCTAAAAATACACACGATAATTTAATGTAAATATTATTTTAACGTTAGGTGGAAGTAATGTTATCAATGTTATGAAAATTTGTAATGACCAACATTCAGAGAAAGTAGGTGCATACACATTCATGGTTCCAACTAGGCAAAGCGGTGGCTTGCAAAACTGCTGTGATGTGATGCAACAACATTTCATTAGTGCGACGTTTATCAACATGCTTAGGGTGGAATGGCATACATTTACCAGACAAAGATATGGATACATGTTAGTACATGTGACCAAATTATACACATAAAAAACTAAAACTCTAATTTTCGAACGTATAAATACCATCAGTTAAATGATAAAAAGTACATTTTACGTTGAATATACATATATACTGTTCTAGTCACAAAACACCATCTACAGAGACAACATTATACACATCTACTGTTCTAGTCATGTAACAACATCTACATCAACTACATTATACACATCTTCTGTTCTAGTCATATAACACCATCTACAGCAACTACATTATACACATCTTCTGTTCTAGTCATATAACACCATCTACAGCAACTATATTATACACATCTGCTCTTCTAGTCACAAAACACCATCTAAAGCGACTTTACTATACAAATATACTGTTCTAGTCACAAAACACCATCTACAGCGACTACACTATACACATCTACTGTTCTAGTCACAAAACACCATCTACAGAGACAACATTATACACATCTACTGTTCTAGTCATGTAACAACATCTACAGCGACTACATTATACACATCTTCTGTTCTAGTCATATAACACCATCTACAGCGACTACATTATACACATCTGCTCTTCTAGTCACAAAACACCATCTACAGCGACTACACTATACATATTTACTGTTCTAGTCATAAAACACCAACTACAGCGACTACATTATACACACCTACTGTTCTAGTCACAAAACACCATCTAAAGCGACTTTACTATACAAATATAATGTTCTAGTCACAAAACACCATCTACAGCAACTACATTATACACATGTACTGTTCTAGTCATAAAACACCATCTACAGCAACTACATTATACACATGTACTGTTCTAGTCATAAAACACCATCTACAGCGACTACATTATACATGTCTACTGTTCTAGTCACAAAACACCATCTACAGCGACTACATTATACACATCTACTGTTTTGGTCTTAAAACACCATCTACAGCGACTACATTGTACACATCTACTGTTTTGGTCTTAAAACACCATCTACAGCAACTACATTATACACATCTACTGTTTTAGTCTTAAAACACCATCTACAGCAACTACATTATACACATGTACTGTTGTAGTCACAAAACACCATCTACAGCGACTACATTATACACATCTACTGTTTTAGTCACAAAACACCATCTACAGCAACTACATTATACACATCTACTGTTCTAGTCACAAAACACCATCTACAGCAACTACATTATACACATCTACTGTTTTAGTCTTAAAACACCATCTACAGCAACTACATTATACACATTTACTGTTCTAGTCATAAAACACCATCTACAGCGACTACATTATACACACCTACTGTTCTAGTCACAAAACACCATCTACAGCGACTACATTATACACATCTACTGTTCTAGTCACAAAACACCATCTACAGCGACTACATTATACATGTCTACTGTTCTAGTCACAAAACACCATCTACAGCAACTACATTATACACATCTACTGTTCTAGTCATAAAACACCATCTACAGCAACTACATTATACACATCTACTGTTCTAGTCACAAAACACCATCTACAGCGACTACATTATACACATCTACTGTTTTAGTCACAAAACACCATCTACAGCAACTACATTATACATGTCTACTGTTCTAGTCACAAAACACCATCTACAGCAACTACATTATACACACCTACTGTTTTAGTCTTAAAACACCATCTACAGCAACTACATTATACACATCTACTGTTCTAGTCACAAAACACCATCTACAGCAACTACATTATACACATCTACTGTTCTAGTCACAAAACACCATCTACAGCAACTACATTATACACATCTACTGTTCTAGTCACAAAACACCATCTACAGCAACTACATTATACACATCTACTGTT